CTGGATCTGCATTCTCTTCAACTCCCTCGCTCTCTACATCTGCCTCTGACTCTGAAACGAAGGGCGCCAGCCCGCAACATGGTGAAACTTCCAAAAGTTCAGTTTCAAATTTCGGACTTGATGCACACACGGGCGACGTAGAACCGAACATCCATGGCCTCGAGCCCGAAGCAGCATTTGATGGTACGCTGGCATACAATAATTTGAATCACCCCGACACCAATATGCAATCCAAAATGCACACTGAGCGGCGTGCGTCCGAGTCGAAAATTGGACACGAGACGGAAAGACTGCTTTCTCTTGAGATCAAGGACGACCCAGGGTCTGAATCCAGAGTCTCAGCGGACAGCACAGGGCACGGGAAGCTACCGGTGGAAGATGCATCCCGAGATCGACTCCATGCAAACGGAAGCCAGTCCACCAGTACGTCATCCACCATTCCTGACGAACACATGTCCGCGTCACTCTCGCAGTCTTCTGACGACGCGATGTCTCTTCTTCGTCCTGGAAGTACCGCAGCTGGCGCTTCGAGACAAACGAGTGATGGCGGAGACAACCTCGATGATATCAAGTCCGTTGAACGGGGCAGTGCTGGCATTGATACGCCATTACAAGAGTCAGGGGTTCCACAGCGTGGCTTCCAGACGGAGACAGCTTGTGAAACTGAAGGACCGAAAGCTGCCGAAAATTCTGCTGTCGTTTCTAATGGCACGGTTCATGATGGCGACTGTGATGCCCCATCTCCCGTGCTGGAACCATTGGACATGAGCACAGCACGTGAGGCGGACAGCAACGATGACAGCGAAAGCAGTCGCAATGCCTTGCCCTCCGCGTGGGATTCACCACCAGTTGGTGGGAACGAGCGCTTCTCTGCAGGGTCCTCCACGCCCAGCATCTCTGACTCCCACATTTCGGAGGACTTGGTGTGCACCCCACACCACGGGAGCACCAGTAGCTCCGACGAATTGCCGCCGACGGATCCAGAGTCTAAAGATCTCCGCCCGAAGGCTATGTCGCCCGCAACGGGGCTTCCCAGTTCTATTGTAGAATCCGTCGATGACCGGAGGGAAAGCCCCACCCCCCCTGGCTACCACATGGGCCTTTCAGAAGGGCGTTCGAGCGAGGACCTGGGCGTCAACAAGACGACAAACAAAACGCATATTGAGGGGGTTGAAGGCGCAAGCGAGAAAACCATTGTGCCGCAGCCGCCTCGCTCCAGGAGGCTAGAACCGATTCCGGGATTCTCAAAATCTCTTACACGACTGGAATCAGGACTTGACGGGCTCACAGCCGTCGCTGTCCCGGTAACGAGTCCAGCAAATCTCGAGACGCGCGAAAGCGAAGGGGCTGGCGGGGCGGACATTGTGGTCCCCATGGCCCATGCTGTCGCCACCGAAGCCTCACCAATCGGCGGTTCTTCCACTTCCGCTGAGTATACGCCTCCCGCATCCGAATCGGAAAGAGGAACGCCTGTCCGAAGCGATGCAACGAGTTCAGGTGGCTCCTCTTGCGAAGAAGAAGATCCAGGGGCACCCCAAAAGAGCGGCGGTCAGTCTGGGCGGAGAATCCCGGGGCTGTCGTCAGATAGCAATGAAGAGGAAGGGCGGACTCCTTTATCCGCCCCACAGCGAGCCAATCGATCGGGAGACGGTGCTGTTGTCGCAAGCGTCCACCCGGTGGAGTCCACGCCGACCTTCGAGCCCACGAGAAGGCCAGAAACATCCTCTGTTCTGAGCGGGCAAGACCGCACCGATATTGGCAAATCGAGAAACGCGGGTCATGGTGAAGAGCCTGAGGTGGCTTCAGGGCGATGTGAGTCGGGGGGAACTTCGGTCGAGGTCGACGATACGGACGCCCTGCCCGTGGCCATCACCATTGGCCCTTTCGAAGGCGAAGGAGATGGAGGCGATCAGCGCTCGGAAGGTGGAGAGTCGAGCCCGAGCACCGCGCCCACGGATCCGTTCTGCGTGGGCGACAGCGATTCTGGGGACTTTGAACTGGACCAGTACTTTCTTCAACCGCAGGTATGCAACGTTGTCACAGGAATACATTCGAGAGTGATGGAGTGAGAGAGAGAGAGTGAGAGAGGGGTATAGTGTGAGCGAGAGAGAAATAGAGTGGGAGGGGGTGTTGACAACTTTTCTTTGCATGGAGAGCTCTGTAGTCTCCACTCAATGACACTTTGGCTCTAAGAAGGCAATTTCATGCCCAGAATTTAGGTGAGCCACTTGTTCTCGCCCAGGAAGTGGCAACCAGAAGTTGACTCTTGTGATCACTCAGGTGGCAAAACCTATCCAAGATAGCGCCGAATACGTGAAAGCGTACATTGCAAAATTGATGGCGCGCTGGGAGGCTGAGGGCCAGCCAGAATCTGTGGAGAGGTCTTTCGAAGATGGCCCCGTGCGGTTGCAATGCTTCGTGGATTTGGAAGAGGCAAGTCCTGATCAAGGAGAGGCGCAAAGAGTGTATAACCACGCGCTCTTCGAGGCAACAAACGAGGCTCTAGTCGACATCTACAGAGTATGCAAGAGACTTCGGGTAATGGGACTGATTCTTCTGATGAAAATGGACAGCTGTATTCACGACAATGTCGAGAGCGACGGGGCGATCAGGAGCGCATCGATATTCTGCTCAAGGATTTCCGCGATTTGGAAACTTAACGACTTCAAGCCACAGTGTTGCATCTTTTCCACAACCCTGCCTGCCGCCTGCATGTTTTCTTCCTCTCTGTTTTGATCACCGATTCCGTGCTAGAATGCTTAGACATGCCCATGCCTATGGCCACAACCAGAAACGACAAGAGTGGAAATGCTGCGAAAAATCCCTGCCGGAACCACTGATTTTGTCCCTATGCAGTGGCTACTGCATGGCTGTATCAGTGCCGTAGCGAACTAGCCGGTACACGACGACAACAATCAAATGCGGTTGCGGACCGCACGAAGGCAAACAGCCTTGAACCAGCGTGGGACGTTTAATTTTGTGGTCAATGCATTGCACGTGCCGGACCACAGTCGGAAAAGTTTCCTGTTGTTCGATGCAGGGGGTCAGTACAGGAGTGCCGCTTCCGCTTCCTCCGACACCGGAGCTTTTGTCGGAAGTCCAGCGACGCGTGTGCCGCGCCCTCCAGCCGCTGTTGTCAGGTGCACAGGTGGTTGAATGTCTCCTCAAGGAAGACGCGTGGCTGCTAGGAAGGGGAATGATATGAGCGTGACAGTTCTTCAAAGTGGAGACTCATGAGAGGAGCTGAGTATTATTCTGCGATCGCGAGAGCACGAGGAACAGAACTGTGTCGACGGGATGGGGCTTCCAAGAACAGCGGGGATCTGTGGGGACTTGTTGTAAACTGCATGAATGTCGGGGCAGGGGCGGCCGCGCCCCTTTCAATGTGCTCAAGCGCGGTTCCATCTTCGGGATGGATCCAGTATTGCTGTGGCAGGCTTGCTTTGGACATAGAAAGGTGACGGCCATGTTGAAAATGAATAGGAGGTTGGGCCACATGCACCCTGCCGTATAGGGAAGCAGTGAAGGGCAAGGAGGCTCCTGAAAGTCTTCAGCCCCCCGACCAACTATGTAACTACCTGAACCCACCAAACGCAGTTGTAGGCAGGCTGGCTCCATTACGGGAGCGAAGCGATCTTTTTAGCACGACTACAGACATCACGCCTTCCCGTGTCCGTGTGCCAAAACAACATAAACGAAACCGCGACTCATGCGCGCGTCGCGCAACTTTTCACACACATGGGTAGCGGGATCAGGCAGGCGGCTGTCAGTTTGCCGAACTCAAAGGGGGGGCTGAGAATTGAATTTCCCATTCCATTGTAACACTACAGGGCCAACCAGTTTCCGATTCTGCCTGTGCCCACCAATTTGAAGCAATTCCTGGGGAGGGCGTTTGGGACTCAAGCATTCTTTTGGGACGCCAATGTGGAGCGCCCATACGGTCCTTCACATCGGTGGTGGCTATCGCAGAACGGTCTATTGTCTTTACACGAGCAAGCAGCATCATAACTTCCATCGGAAACATCTTATAGAATTGACAGGTTCAGCAACCAAACGCACAAACAGTCAATCCGGAACTTGGAGACCATGCAAATTGGCAGTCAGGAAACAACAGAAACGCCGCTCTTTTCCAACTGTATTACAGTTGTGGGGTGTTCTCTCATGTTCAACTTCAAACATTGTGGGGGCTCCGCCGTGATCCGTCCGGAGGCTAAAAGAAACCAACAGTCACCCACTCACCCCGACCAGCACGTTCACCTCACGTCACTCGTGCTGTGGGCCACTTCTTCAAACATGCCCGACTTTGCTCAGCTCAACGCGACCTTCTCGCCATACGCAAACTTCAACTCAAACACAGTCCAGCAGGTCCCGCGAGAAGAGTTATTCAAATGCAACCTCGACTCTGCTCATGGTTACATCCGCACTCCTGGAAGCGCTGCACCTCATACAAGGCCTTGAAATCAAGAACATTGAACAGATTGTGGCCACCACCAGCGGTCATCCAGCAAGCACTTATCCACTGCCCATGCCGTGTCCCTCAGTCGTCCGAACGCGTGACGGCACGCCATACCGGATGCAAACCGACAACAACGGCCACTGCAGCGCCTTGTGGCGCGGACCCGCAGGGTCCCCGAAATCACGTAAAACCAAATCCGCGTCCTACATTCCCTCGGAAAGTGTATCGTTTATTCAATCCTAACGCAGTACACAGGGAATGAAATTCGCAAAAGGGAGGGGCAAAAGCACTAAACGACGCCTGTACGGTGTGCTGCGTCCAATCTGCTGTACCTATCATTCCTTTATTTGTAGTTAAACCCAAATCCCCTCGACGCAGCGCGCATCGCCACTGGACATGCCGCTCATCTGGGCGCCTGCCCCGCCTCCACTTGCCTGACTCCTGCGAGATATTTTCCCAGCCTACGGGATCCGCTCGAGCCTAGTTGTACAATAAATAGTCGTTTCTCTGCCTACGTCCAACATGGCTGCGTACAGGCCGCCCTTCACGGATACATGCCGGCCGTCAGCTTTACCCGTGACTCCCCCACCCGCACCTTGCCCGGCGACCGCTTCACGCCCACCTCCAGCTCCAATCCATCGATCCTCTCGATCACGGCCTTGGTGAAGCGGGCGTGGCGAATATGTTCTGCCCGCGACTCCAGGGCGAGATACGCCAGGACCATAGCGCCTATGAAGACGCCGTACATGACGTGGTACTTCTGGGTGCCCTCCTCGACCAGGAAGACGTACCTGTGGACGAACACGGAAAGCAGGACTCAGCCTAATGTACAAAGTACACTAGCTGACCGTTTCGCGCGACTCGGGTCCCTGTTCATTGCGTTTCCAATTCCCGACATTGTGCTTTCATGAACCGTGTACGTCCGGTCACCTTCACCAGCGTGATTCGAAATGACGGTTTCGAGATGCAAGTTGAGAATATCATAATCAGGGCGCTCCTTCCATGGGGCTATGTCCTTAATGGCCGTGAAGCTCCGAGGGCAGCCCTTCGCCACGTTCCGATAAGTGCCGCACAACGCTGACCAACAAACTCACCATCGCACACCCGCCTGTCCGTCGCGCCGGATGTGACAATCACAAAGGTGTGACGAAGGTCATGAAGAGCACCAGGGACCTAGAAACTCAAACAAGCCGACATACCTACAGGACCTCGAAAACTAAAGAAATCTAGAGCCCCCAAACACTGACGAAACTGCAAAACCTTAAAGAACGTTGGCCGAAGATGACCTACATGGCGTACATGTTCTGAAATGAGGCCATCGGACATTTGTGCATCATCCGATCGACCACCGCGGCGGGACAAACGCCGCGTCGCCCGGCGACCAAGGCGCGCACCTGTCGATGCCCATGAAGATGTTCCACACCGCCAGCAGGATGGCCCCGCGGCCCACCGTCCAGTGCATCCACTCCCAGTACATGCGCAGGGCGTCGCCCTTGTGGGGCCGCTTGGCGGCCAGCAGGGGCTGCGCGATGCCCAGCACCATGACGGCCCAGCCCACCTGCCCGTGGCGGAAGTCGGGCTCGGGGTCGAACTTCAGGATGGCGATGACCCAGGCGACGATGGCCACTAGCAAGCCGCAGGACTGGACGAAGACGTGGGTGTAGAACCAGATGGGGTCCTTGTCCTTCATGGTGCGAGCGATGATGGCGCCCATGGGGATCATGAAGCCCCAGCCGACCACCATCAGCCACGCGTGCACCTGCCAGCGCAGTGAATCGGCTTGAGCCATAGACGTGAGTGGGCGCAGATGTGCGTGTGGGCGTTTGGCAATATTCTCCGTTGTTTCAAACGGTTGTGTTCTCTCCAAGAGCCGTGCTGGATTGCCGACAATCGCGTGTCTGCCGTGCATCACGAGTTGCAACGGGAGTGCATCGCACAAGAGCCGCCATTGTGCTGCAATAAATCGAGCGAACCATTCGCAATTGTAAGCAAATCGCAGTAACGAAATTTTCTGGGTGGCGATCATTTTTCGGCAGTGCGTCGAGCACGAACTGTCAGTCGAAATGAAAAATTGCGAAGATCGCGTCCGCATCTGGGTGCGACGCAGCCGGCTCCCCGCACCTGCCAGTACGTCTTGAGGTTCTCGTTGGCGGACGCCAGCACGGCAGAGCCGCTGCCGAAGTTCAGCGTCACCGCCTTCTTGGTGCCAAAGCCGTGGTAGGCGATGCCGTCGGTGGAGGGGTGGAACGCCACCAGCATGTCTTGGTCCGCATTCAGGTCAAAATCAGGGCCCGCGGCGCGAGAGAAGTGCAGAATGGTCCTCGAGTCCATCTCCTCCACGAACGTGTCCTCGGGCACCAGCTGGAAGGCGTCGGCAGTGACGTCGATGCCCGCAGAATCCTTGGAGTTGAGGGTGTAGACGTCGATCTGGGGGACGTCACGACAAGTCGTCGGCACCCCACGCAAACACGCCAGCAGGGCTTGCACCGCCTCGCGCACTTCCTTCCGCGTTCGCACGCTGTCTTCAATACTTTGTTGTACATTTTTAAATGTGCATTTCAGGTTTTCGTCAAGCCTTGCAATAGTCGATGCAGTTCTTGTCTAGACTGGACAAAACATCACGCACTACTGAGCGTATTTTCGGTGCGGCCTTTCGCCAGAGGGCACCTGGCAGAAGATCGGATGATCGAATTTCCTCCGCCGAATGGTCTCTGGCGTCGAAGCGTCGCACTTCGCATCAGCGATACCGACGAATCGACGCAGCCCGTTCGTTTGAGGCCCGCACCTGCTCGTCGGCGCCCGCCCAGCCAATGACGGCCGTCGACCCCACCATCTGTCCCGGCGTCTCCGGCCACGCGACGGACACCCAGCCCGTGCCCTCCGCCTCCGCGGCGATGTGCACCACCTCGCCCTCGATCCTCCAGTGCATGCGCAGGCCGATGTCCGTGTCTTGAACACATCCGTCTCCGTAACCCTCCAAATCGGACGGAGCGCACATGACGCCGCTGTCCGTGGCGCTGGCCACAGCGACGGACACCTCGTCCGCGCTCTGAGCGTCGCTGGCCACGAGTCCGTCTCCTGTGCCCACGGTCTCCTCCGCCAGCTTCTCGTCTGCCTCTCCAAGGACGATTCCCGGTTCGTCTCCTCCAGGGACGGACTGGAAGTTTACTGAGACGGCTGCCCTGCTGGCGGGGCCGTGGTACTCGATGGCGTCCGCGGTGGCGTGGAAGCCGCCCAGGAGGTCGTGGTCATTGGCGGCGGCGAAGGAGGCGTCGAAGGCGCGGGAGAACTTGAGGATGGTGCGGCCATCGGCCTCCTCGATTTCCATGTCGGAGACGCCAAGGTCGTCGTCCGCGGGGACAATCCCCGAGGCGTCCTTGCTGGACAGGGCGTAGACGCCGACCTGCCGGCAGCCATGCAAACGACTCGAATCGAATGATCGGAGGAACAGTGCCAGTGGTGGCATAAAAGCAATGGCATGTATGGAAAGTTACTGTTGTGTGGAGTGGGATGGAGCAACTAAGCAATATTCGTCGGCCACTGGTCGCGCCGTGCGTTTGTTGGACATGTTTTGGCTTGTTACTCAAGTCGACACATCAATGCATCCTCCAGGCGGTTAGTTTTAGGGAAGGCGCTATGTCGATTTTGTTATGCTCAGCGGCAATTCGGCGTTGGCTCAGAGACACCCCCACCCGCCCCTTCCTTTAGCTTCAATCCTTATGTCGAAGCCAGGATGAGTCAGCAACATCTTTACCCAACAGTGGAACACAATTTCTAGTTGGTTTTGAGAAGAAAAGACGCTCTGAGTCGTGCAAGTTTCGGTGGGCTGAAAATGGGATTATAAATGTCATTATAGGCAAGGCGGGTAAACTCAATGGCTATAAATTGACACATTCTAAGGAATCTCTTGAAGACTGAGCATTTCAGGGAGGTTTACGAATAAGTAACGAGTGTTTTTTCTGCTGATCAGCAGCGTTTTAAGTCATCTTTCTACCTTATGTCGATTTTGTTGCAATTGCATAATCTTTTAGCGTCACAGGTCTGAACACCCCCACCCCCTCCCAGCGTCAAATTGATGCTAGTCGGCATAGTATCTTCCCTTAGTTTCGGCAAGTATCTGAAACAGCTTTCCCCTTTCCTGGAGAACTCTCCTCCAATTGGCGGCACAATTGTACACCCCGTTATTCCAGGGGATTTTCGCAGCGTTCCACCTGCGCCTGTCGGAGAGTTGCCAGGGAAATCGCCACGCCACGCCCCCCACCCCCCACCCCACCCCGTCCACAGCGCACTCACCTCGTCCCCGCCAGCACCGTCCGTCCAGCCCATGACCGCAGTCGCGCCCACCATCTGGCCGGGCGTCTCCGGCCACGCGACGGCCACCCATCCGGTGCCCACCGCCTCCGCCGCCATCTCCACCTTGTCGTCGTCGGCCCTCCAGTGCAGCAGGTAGGCCTCGGGGACCACCTGCGCCATGCAGTCGTAGCCCGCCATGCTGGACGGCGCGCACTGCCCCGCGGTCTTGGGCGTCTCAAAGAAGTCCACGGTGCCCAGGACGCCTCGGCCCTCGTAGGAGACCCCGATCCCGCCCCCGTGGTACTTGAGCTCGTCCTTGCCGTAGAATTCCTTGTTCGAGGCCCGGCCCGTCTCCAGCGACGATGGCGGGTTGTGGGAGTAGTTCTCCTGGTCCTGGCCGAAGGCGTAGATCATGAGGTAGTTGATGGTGTCCAGGATGCAGTAGTCCGCAGCCTGGTCGGCCGTGGAGAGTTTGCGCCGGAACTTGAGGCCGGTGAAGCCATTCACCTCCATCCCGATGGCGTCGACGATGTCGTCCCGGCCGCCGAAGTAGACGTCGGGCAGGGGGCGGGCGCGGCTGGGCGTGAAGGTGTCCTGCACGCGGAAGGTCCGCCCGCGCGCGTAGCCGATGACGATGTCCTGGTTGATCATTGCGTGAGCCGACGGGTCGTCGACGAGGGCGTTCTCGCAGCGGGTGCCCTCCGCAAAGAGCCGCGCCTCGGATTTGCCTGCGATTGGCAAAACACAAGGTGAGAGAGCGCTCTTCTAATTGCCGCGGTCCCCCTTGTTCACCGTCCCCATCCTTGTGTCATTCAAGGAACAACAATGGAGATGGTGATAATTTCGAAAGCCGGCAGGCAATAGCACACCATTGCGGCACAATCGCGATTACAGTTTTTCCCTCTTTCCTCCTCCAGGCGAAGATATCCCAGGAAAACAGTGCAGTAGCTGCTGCATGGTTGAGTGGGCAGAAGCAGCACGGCTTTGCGACTGGCAAAATGTGTCCCCCCAGCAACATTTACCTTTTGTGTCAGCAACGGGCTCTGAATCAGCAGGCTCCGAAGCAGCACCGGGTTCTGAAGTAGCACTGGGCTCTGAGGTGGCTGCAGGTTCAGACTCAGTCTTGGCCTTAGCCTTGGCCATAAGGAGAGCTCTCCCAGCAACCATGGGCTCCTCCTTCTCCTGCACAAAGGCGGGCATCCTACTGAGCATGCCGCGGCGTTTCTTTCCCTTTTCCTGAGCCGCCACCAAATGGGTCCCCTCGTCGGATTCAGCTGTGAGTGGCTCGCCGGCATCGCAGCCTCCGCCAGTGCCCTCAGCCTCAGACTCCGCTTCAGGTTCTGCTTCAGATGCAGACTTTGGCTCAGCATCAGATTTAGGCTCAGCATCTGACTTGGGTTCAGCATCAGACTTGGGCTCAGCATCAGATTTAGGCTCGAAATCAGAGGCTGGTTCTGCTTCGGAGTCTTGAGCACGCTTCTTCCCTTTCCTGCCATTCTTCTTGGTGGAGTTTCCTTTGTACATGTCGTCAGCAGCATCGGCACTATCGTCTGCCTGAGCAAGTTGCCTGACACCACCATTTTCCATAGCCTCCTCCTGCAGCGCAGGCATGCGTCCATCTGGGCCCAACAGTTTCCTTCCGCTGTCTGCCTTGGCCGCTTTTCCCTTCTTGGCTTTCTTGTCCGCCTTTGGCTCAGCGCTGGCCTCGGACTCTGTTGAGCTGGTCACATATTCCTTGTCGTCAATTCCAGGTTCACCCTCTGAGTCTGGTTCGCTCCCAGCCTTAGGCTCAGCTTCTGAGGAGGCTCCCTCAGCTGCTGGCTCGGCCTCTGAAGAGGCGCCTGTCACTGCTGATGCAACCCTGGCAGGTTCCCCTTTGATGCCGCTGGCCCGGAATCCGATTGCTACCCAGCTGCTCGTGTTTGCATGGATAGCGAACTCGATCTCATCACCATCGACCTGGTGCAACAAACGCGATTCGAAGTGCCGTTAGTGCACATTCTGGGAATGAACAGCATGCAAGGGAGAATATGGCTGCCAGCGCCTTGTCGTTGCAGATGTGTTGGGGTTTCTTTGAGATAAGAAGAATCCAGAACAGCTATTGAAGATGCCACTGAAGCCTACTGCTGTGTGCATTCTGTTTTGTCTGTCCAACGATTGCAGCGCAATTGTATGAAACATGAATCTGCCACCACAACTACACTGCAGTTGGCTCAGTTGCAAAAGGTAGCAGCACTGGTGCCGGTGCACATGGCACAGTTCAACGAATCCTATTTGGGCAAGAAAGTGCCAACAGCAAGTTAGCCACACCTTGTAGAAAACAGTGAAGGCCCCTTCTCCAGGAGACACCTTCTGGAAGGGATACTCCTCTCCCCAATTTGCAGGATTGCCAAACCTCAGGTTGGACTCTCTGCGCAACCACACCTGGACTGAGCTATTGTTGTCTGCATCTTGCAAACAACTATTGAGCCAAACTGCACAGTGCAGTTTACACATGATGTTCAGGATTCAGCACGGTGCACACACCCCGATATTGACAAACCCCATGCCTGAACTGGACTTTCCCAACCTCCTCTTGCCAACAGGGCAACAATGCCTCCTGAACATTGCATCCGACACTGCTCTTGCACAGGGGAAACTGTGGGACAGGATGGCCCACTTGCCTATTGCAAATCCGGGTTGGCAGGCTGCTTCCTAGGGACACCCATGGTTGCACCTCGTCTCCAAACCAGCCCTCCTTGCAGTAGCACTGCTTCTGTGGATCCGTCAAGGCCTGCAGTTCACCATCAAGGTGTTTCAAGGGTCATTGTTGAGCCTGAAGGGATTGAATTTGAGAAGTTGGTTCAATTGCGTATTGTTTGCAGTCATGGTTCTGCAAGAGCTCAGCGAAATCAATAGCGAAATTCCAGCGGTCAGCATGATGTGGAACCTGTTCTGGCAACATATCACAACTGACCAGGTGTAGCTGTCAGCATAGGCTTTAGCATGTTGTTCAACTTCACGTGTCTGAAAGCTACCTACCTCCCCACATCAAAATGCTATCGTAGCAATGTAACATGTGTCAAACTGTGCATTGTAACGCGGTTGCAAGCAACTTTTTCGGCATTTCTCGCCAGTGCTTGGATGTTTAGAAGAGCGGCACCCTAGTGAGCACGTCCTATCGAACCCCAGCATCATTGGATGCAGGTTGTGAGCGGACGCCGAAGGAGACTGACGACAGCACAATACAAGAGAAAAGCCACGCCACCGTCCCTGTCCACACTCTTTGACTTCCCATTGAATTGGAAACAGAGCAGTTATCTGAAGGGAACCAACACGGTGGGCCATCACAACAATGATAATCTTCGAAATTTGTGTGCCGCGAGCTGACCAGCCGCTTGCATGCAGTACTTACCCCTGTGTTGATGCACCGGCCGCCCTCCCCACAGTCCTCATCAGCGTCGCATTCGTTTTGGCGCTCGCAGTGGGTCCCGTACCAGAACCCATCCTCCATGCTACTGTCGCATTCGCACTTGCCCTGACCGAGCACAACACAACTCAATTCAAATTGTGGCCTGCAGCTGTGAATCATTTTCTTTCTGCTGCCGGGCGCAAAATTCAATCGAGAACGACAAATGCGCGCCGCGGGCCAACATGGATCCGTTGCCCCGCGCACCACCACTCGGTAGTCCTGTCATTCAGTAGTCAAGAGAGTCGAAGCAAGGCGCTCCACGGCGGAGGTAACAAACGAGTGAGGCAGTTAAACATGTGAGGCAAAGTCACCCGGTCGCACCCGGCAGAGGCCTGCCACGTGGCAGCCACGGGTCGCGTCCCCGCCCCAACGTCGCAACGCGCCCGTACGACGCCCGCCGTTTCTGCGAAGCGCCCAGTCCGCCGGCGATTCCCCCCAGTCATGGCACAACGCCTGACTCGACAACACGGCCTCTCCGGCGGCCCCCACCGCCCCCGCCCCTCCTTCCCCAACCCCAAGGGACGCACCAGGCAAAAAAAGGCGAGCCCAAAACCGCAAAACCGCGCGCCCGCACCTGGACGCAAGTCCCGTGACCCGAGCATCCTCCGCATTCAGCCTCATCGTCGTCCTCCTCGGGATCGACGATGTCAACCAGGGCGCAGCTTCGGAAGAGGTAGGCGCCGCCCCACTCCAGCGCCTGGCGCTGCATCCGCAGCACGCAGCCCCGGCAGGGCGCCTGTGGCATCAGCAGCTCTGTGGCCTGCTGGGTGCCGTCGGAGGCGCAGTCCCAGTGGGAGCTGTCGTTCCAGACGGAGGCCAGGGACCCCTCTGAATCGAACAGCTCGAACATCCAGCCGCCCTGGTGGGCGTAGTGGAGGTCCCTGCGGCGCGGGAGGGGCGAAGTGAATAGTCAGCACCAGGATCATTGGTCCATGGCGATCTTCATTGAGATCGCCGTGAACGAGCCGCGAAGCTGGCGCGGCCTGGGCCTGGGAGATCTTTCCCGGGGGGTCAGGCGGGCGCCCCTTTTGGGGGACGGCCGCGACCTCCGCCCGGGCTTCGCCGGGTCGATCGCGCACAATCTGACGGCCACGCCCCCTCCGCGACCCTCCCCGAAATCCGGGCGTAGCGGGCGGCCTCATGACGACGTTTTGACCCGCTGTACCGCGGCATGACCACAGCAACTCCTCGCATCGGGGACTTCGACCGCGGCGGGCGGCGAGACCGAAGCGACAGCGGGCGCCCAGAAAGCGCAGCCGGGAGCAACTGCCGCCTCTGATGGGGTTGCCCCGAGCGGCCAAGCGTGCCCAGTCAAACGCTGCGTGCGCATCAATAGGACAAATCGGAGCGCGGGGGGAGCGCACCACGCGACCTCAATGGCCCTGCCCGCGGGCAGCGTCGTGACGGTCTCGGTGTCCAGCGGGGGTAGCCTCCAGTAGCCGGAGCCGTCCGTGCCTGAGGCCTCGTCGCCGCACAGGCCCTTGGTGCGCGCGTTGTCGAGGAAATCTGTAGCGCCATCGAGACAGCACTCAAGGCCCCACGATCCAGGACAGACTGGATCATGAGCGCCGCATCGAGCGTCGTCAAGGCCGTGGCGAGGGGGGCGGAGAGCAACAGCAGCGGAGCCCGTAGCTCCCAGGGACAGAAAGCAGGGTGCCAGCACCGGGCGCACATTTCTGGGCCCCTGTACATTCGCCTCCGGGCAAGTCCCGCAGCCGGGATTTCGGGTGGAAGGTCGCGGAACACGCCCCGCTGCGCGAGCCGCAAGATTTCGCCCACTCACCCATGGAAGACGTCGGGGGAGGGTACGCCAGCCTGACATGGCCCAGCGCCGCGCCCAGGCACAGCGCCCCGACGAGCGTCCACGCCGCGACCTTCGCGAACATGGCCGCCCCGCTTCGGTGGTCGCTGGATTCAAGCTCGCCGCCGACGCCTGAAACGACCGCAGCGTGGCCTGCGCGCCCCGGTTTCTGTGCCGGCTCCCCGCGCAGGGGGTCCTCAGCGCGGCGCCTTGGTTGGGCCCCGGTTCGGATGGGACGGGGGGTTTCGGGTCGGCCGAAAATCACGTTCTTTCCATTCTTTAAGCCCTCTCGACGAGGCGCGGCGGGCTGATTGGCCGCCAATGGCCTAACGTGGTGCCGCCCGCGTGCGACGTGGAACCTCTGGCGCAGTGCATTACAGGGCCCCACGATGTGCCCTCCAACAACTCCGCCCTCGGGAAATGGCCGAGGGTCTCTGCTGGCCGCCTCTCGTGGTGCCGCGGCGCCGTGGCGTGGTGGCGTACATCTGGCAGAACCAGGCGCCCGAGCCCGCGGGCGGTGCCCTTAAGTACTGGGGGACGGTGCGCGGGCCCCGGCGGGACGCCCCCTCCGGTGCGGCTGGTCCGGGTGAGCCTGTGGCGGGTGTCAAACATATTGACCAGCTGCGAACTCCGGCAGTTTGGTGCCTCGTGGTCGACCCGTGACGCCCTGACCACGGGCGCCGTCCTGAACAGTCAGTGCACTTGCGGCCCGGGTTTCGCAACCTATGCAGCCGTCCACCGTGGACTACTTCCCATCACACAACACAGTCCAACTTCCCCTGCGCCCCATCGTCCAACGCGGTCCTGCGCGCGTCAGTTCGTGCCGCCCCTCACCCAACGTTGCAGCAATGGATATATAACTGCACACAGTTTCCTCCCACCCCTCACTTTTTCCGCTGTTCGGCTCGGATCGCTTCACGGACAGGTGTTCAAGAGTCAGTAGTGGCTTCGCTGTTTCTCTGAGGCTTCCCCGCACAATCCCGTTAATTTCCCCTTAAAGGGCTTTTAAGGGGAGTGCAGAGGAAGCAAATGGCTTACAATTCCCTCTTTTCCCAATCCAGTCATTTACGTACATGCTTTCTTCATGAAGAAATTTTGCTGATCAGCACTGCAATCCTTGGCCATGCACCATGCGTGAGACGCCAGTACGGAGGGCTGCAGGCAGGCCAGTGGACTCCCGGTCTTAATACACGCCAGCAGCCCGCACCATTGTCGAAGAGCACCCGGGGCATCGCTCATCACAAATCTGTCACCCAGGGCGCTGGGCGCACTCTCCTCTCAGTGGGTTCGTCTGATCACTGTCCCAAGGACGTTGTGCCCATCAGTAGCGGGCACAAGGCGCCCTTTGGCCATCCTTGTGCCATCAATGCCCAGGACCTCCGTACCTGGGATGCGCAGGTACGGAAGTACATCTTATCGTGGGCGTTCCTTGGGTTAATGGCATCAATACCGTACAATCGTACCTATTTAACCACCCCCCAAAGTACCCCAAACACCATCCATCCCGCGGGGGCAGATTTGCTCTGCTCATGGCTTTGGCGCGGCACTAGAGCGATTTTGGCGTTTCGCCATTGTAGTTGTGAATAGACTTATGCCAATGGTACAATTTGGTATGTGGGGACGACATCCAGCATTTAAGCGAGGCTGAGCAAACGAGAGCCCGGGGACCACACCCCGGCGCTCGATCCCAACGGGGCCTGCCTTGGAGCAAAAACTCCTCCAGAGCCTGCACCCTGTCCATAACATGAGAAGCATCACGCCCAACTGGCTGCAACGGATTAGGATGCTAGAAAGCCGTCGTTCACGAAATGCCAGCCGATCAACGTCTAAAAGCCAGGCACTTGCGCAAATGCATGAATAGCGCCAGGAGCACGTGCTCCCACGACGGTGCACCCACGGCAGGCGACCCTACTCCAGGGAATTCAAGAGAGTTCCAGTCAGATTGGGGACCCCCACAATATGCTGCGCAACATTTGTTGCTGATGCACCCAGGTTTCAAATCCGCAGAAATTTAAAATATGCCAACGCAATTCGGATTCTTCTCAACTGCTGTTGTAAGCACGTTGCATCAGCATAGCCACTGCATCATTGCACTAGGTCCACATGGACCCGACGCCCAATCACCACATTATTAGTGGTTGAGAACTGAATAAATAGCTGAAAGCTATACATTCAATTTTCAACCATCGTGAAATTTGGTACCACGCAGGCCGACACCAGGCCGTTCGCTTTGAAGCAACAACGGCGTTTCTCGCAGATCATATGCTCATGTTGCAGCTGTACACTCAAAAGGATACACATTCCGCAAATACAGGCGCACCCTTGCTGCATTTAGTATGTCAATTGTTCTTTCTTTACTCAATTTCTGTATGTCTATCGCATGTCATGCATCGATTCGCGTCATTGGTTTGTGCCCATTACCTATTCCTTCAATCTGTTGCACAATTGTTTTGCGGCACCACGAATGAATCCAATCATTTCGAATGAGGTTGCATTCCTTCCTTCCTTTCCATGAGTCTCAAGGCCTGCAAATGCTTTCAAGCAGGCTTGGCTTTTACGCCGTAAAAACTGATCGTATTTACGTTTTTACGCGTAAAAATAGTTTTTACGTTTTTACGCGTAAAAATGCGTAAAAATACGTAAATACAACGTAAAAACTGACTGGTGTACATAAGGACAGTACACACAGATTTGCAGAGTCAGGAAAGTGGCAGCCAGATGCCTTGGAAGAGGCAGAAGATGAGTTTTTGTTAAATGCCATTATCGCCCTTGCCAAGGGCGAGGTGGACATGGTGTTGCGGGTGCTGGAGATGGCGGAGGACTGATCATTGTACGCAACTTTTGTCGTGTAATCTAGGTGTGCCCGGGAGCCGTAAAAACGTAAAAATACCCGTAAAAATAGGCCTTTTTGCAAATTTACGTTTTTACGCGTAAAAACGTAAAAGTAAAAACGTAAACGTAAACGTAAAAACCAAGCCTGCTTTCAAGGCATAGAAGCTGAATTTCATCTTGAACCACTCGTCGTTGCCTGCATCGCATGAGAGCATGCCTTGCACTCCTCATGCAAGGTACATACAGTAGTATATTAAGCTCTTTCGCATAGTAACGTAACGTTTGGCCTTTTTTGCGGATGAATTACAAAAAGTGCAGCGGTTCCAAAACAAAAATGTGGAACCGCCCCGAAAGTAACGCCTTAGCTGGATTGACACGAGATGGGTCCGCCACAACCCGCAGTGCCTTAGCGTGACCACGCTGCCCCCCAAAACCGACTGAAATCACCCTGCCGCGGCCAAACGGCCCCAGCTGCAATGCAGACCCCGCACAGGTGTCTTATTGGGCCAGAAAACGTACATTTCGCGCTCAAAACTCAAAATTCAATGTCGCTGCCAGCTCTGATTCGCTGAAAATTGGTTGTTGCCATTGTCACTATTTGATAGCGAAGAGCGCTCAACGCTGAAGAAAATGATACAGCAGTCGAACGCGTAACAAAAGCATTGGTATTCATTCTTCCGCTATGATTGAATCCCTGATTGGGTGCGGCCCGGCACTGGCATACATTCATTGGCTGCACCAAATCGGTGACTTTCTGCACTAAATCGGTGACTGCTTGCACCAACTGCCTCCAAAACTTACCTAACCTAAAACTCGAACCCTAAAACCTAAACCTAAACCTGCCCTAACCCTAACCCTAACCCTAAAACTCACCCTGAAACTAGACCTAACCCTAAAACTGAGGTTAGTACACAGAGTGCACGTGACTTGGTGCAAGCAGTCACCGATTTGGTGCAGGCAGTAATATTATTTCCCCGGCACTGCTTGACCGCACTTGGGGGGGTTGCAGTTGCAGCCCTCCACAGTTTGCACGGCGCACTGTCCATGCAGGGGCCCCTAGCGCGCTGCACCCGTCGCGCCCCTTGCCCTCGCCCGCGCGCCCCCGCTCCATTCCCCGCCGCCCGCCCACCCCTCCGCAGCCTATGGCCCCCCCCTCGGATCTCTCCCTCCCCCCAAAGCCGAATCCACATCCCATCAGCGGGTGATTGGGGCGTCGCAGGCCAGCGAGGTGCCTCGCCAGATGACCTCCTGGCGAAGGTGGCCCGGCTCATACGGGCGGCCGAGATGCTCGACGCCGTGGACGCCCCATCTTTCAATCTCGCCGCCGTCCTGTGGGAGACGCTCTCTGAGGTGCCATTGAGTGAGCGTGCGAGGCTGTTGGACGTGCTGGCCGCGCGGGACATCGTGAAGCTGTGGCGGATCGCGGGAGAGCGGTACGAGGCGGCCGGGAGGGGGAAGTGGGGGGTGCCGGGGCATGCCGTGGCGGACGACTTCCCCGAGGAGCCGGGAGAGGTGAGGGGCATGGTGGATAGGATGTTCGTCGCGGCTCCGACGTTTTTTCTTTGGTTTTTTTCCAGCGTTGCGTCAGCGGCAGCCATTCGTGCTGGCAGTGGCGCCCAGGTGCCATGCTAGCGTTGGTGTCTGCGTGCCTTTTCGTTTTTGGGTCCGGATGGGCCGGAAACGTCACTGCGGGAGGTTGGCTGGCATTTTGTTTGGCGCATTGGGGCCTTGGCCCAAGAGAGAACATGCGCCAGAAAGACGCCCAGCGGTTCCCTTGCGCAGTATATGTATCTGAAATGAACAGAAATGTGGCCAAGGCGAGGTGGCGCAATTTGTGTGACGTTTTTGTGGTGTTGTGTCGTGTTTCTCTGGTTGTTGCAAGTCTGTGGCAATCAATCAAAGACAAGAGAATGGGAAATATGATCTGTAAATAGAAATGGGAAAGGGAATGCCTATATCCCTCCATAGACACTTTTTCTTGAGCATGAGCACACGGACAAATGTGATTCCATGAAGTACATTAAGGTGAGTTGAACAAGTGTGTTGCCTGCTGCGCATGGTTGGGTTGGCAAGTGCTTGAAATCAGTTGGGAATTTTCTACCCCCTAAAGCTGTCAGCTCACAATGCTTCACACCCCGGCAGGTGTCCACATTCGATGGGAAAGCAGCCCTCGCCTGGTTCCCCTGGTTTGGTGTGGACCGCTTCAAAAAGTGCTTCTTCCTGGATTCCTCATACAACCTTTTTGGCCACCTGGTCGTCAACAGGGGCCCCTTGGGGGAACTCCTGTATCCAACGTATTTTCAGGCATCTTGTGACCTCGCCACGATTCCTGCAACGGGTGAAGTGGCTGACATCAGGCTCGATTACCTGCCTGTCAATAAACTGAACTTGAAGGAGGAGCTCCCCATTGCAGGATGGCGGCCACCTGGGGACCCACGTTTTCCATTCGGTGGCGGGCTGGTGGACTACATGCGAGTGGTCGCGCCAGGGGTGTATGTTGGGGTGGGGTGGAAGGCACCCAAGAAAAAGAGGGACCTTGGAAGGAGGTTTTTGTACTTTGTCCTTGTAAAACGAGTAGCTGATTGACACCCTGAGTGCCATGGGTGTCAGAGCAGTCGATTACCAAGATCGGCTGCAGCTGACACACTTCAGTGGCTTGTTGGTCACCTGTAGTTTGCACTGCTGTGCAATGAATTTGGATTGGTTGAGTCTGCTTGCAGATGGGGTTGGGGACGAACTTGCACTCAGACACCTCCCTTGCTTTTGCATTGCAATCCAGGGCATCATATACGTGCTTTATCAACCAAATTCACTTCCCATTGTGCTCATCCATGCCCTGTCCGTTTTTGGCAGAAAGCAGAAAACCAGGAAACTGTTGGCGCCCTACCAGCTGACTACCGGGCTGACCAGAAATAGAACATTTGAAGATTCTGCCAATGTAGATGGGCCACGTATTGCAGTTGGATGGGCTCAGCATCTGCTTGTGAAGCAGCCGCTGATGGATCTCTGCATGCCTAGGCTGGACTGACACCATTTGGAAAGTGTGGAAGCTCATTCGAACAATTGTCCCACTTCCATTCAAGCAAGTGTCTCCACTTAGCCATCTGAATGCACATAGCAGTTGGCAATCGGGCCTTGGGCAGATATACTTTTGTGTTTGCCATCTGCGCAATCCGCGGTGGATTCCATTTGTGTGCATTGCTGTAACTAACAGTGCTCACTGCACACAGGCCTACGTGGAAAATCGTTCACTTGTTGTATTTGTGCTCGGTTCGTGCAAAAGCGCAAGCATTGTAGATATTTCAAGTACTGCAAAGCGCCTTTGTGACCATGGATGTGTTTTTGGTGTGGGTATCTGCAGTGCAGTGATTGGGTTTTGCTTGAAACCAGGTTCTTTCTGAGTTGCTGCAACTCAGAAAGTTCTGGCACGTAAGTGGAGTTTTCATTGGGTGTAGGATGCATGTGACAACAAGCACAAGTTTGCGTGCATGGATCCGACGCCTTTTATCAACCATGTCTGTTCCACTGGAAAATAAGTCACAACGATTGGCTGGGCAACGAGAAAACCGACGCCTTTGATCAGCCATGACCGTTTCACTGGAAAACAAGTCACAAACGATTGGCTGGGCAACGAGAAGAAAACCCACTCAGCCTCTGGCCCGACCATAATCTCCTCAAGCAATGTGCAGCCAATATATAACCACTCTTTGCTATTGTTTACACTTCTGTTGGAACTGTCTACCAACGACAACTTGAAGAAAGCGTGAAAGAAAGACACGCTCTGATGCGTCGACCATGGCACAGCCCAAACTTGGTTCTATCGCACCAGCAGCGCCACTGTACGGCCCCATCCAACCCACTGTTCTCATCTCGTGATGCAGCATGATTTCGTTGTTCATTTTGTTCAAGATTCCCCCAATGCCTATGTGACCAATGTGTTTGTCTGTTAAAGAGTTCAAATGACATCATGAGGAAATGGCTGCCAGTAAAAGAGCACGACATCATATCACATGTGCAAGAGCAGAGCTTTGGCATGCCTGTGAACAGTGTAGGCAATGCAAATTTCCAATGGCGTTCGGTGCCTCAGCTTGGGCAATGGCGCGTCGCAGAAACAAGCAAGAACGTTAGCTGCAGACATAGGCGGTTGCAGATCTGCTGCCAACGGGTGCTGTGCCCACCCTTCGGCGATCAACAGATTTGTGACATCGCGAACGGGCCCTCAATGCTAAGACACCATATCCCAACCCCCGCTTCCCTCTGCCGCATATTGCCCTCACAAGTTGTGCAATCTCCTTGGTGAAGCTGCAATCTCTTTGCCAGCTTTCTATCCTGGGCGTGTTGCACCCCTTGAAACCTGAGCATGCACTGACTGAAAGAGTTTCCTTCTTTCAGCAAGGAGTTGCTGCATTACTCGGATACCTTAATCTGTGGGAAGCAGCCGCAAAATCGAGATAGTGTACCTTTAACTGTTTTCCGGTGTGCAATAGACTCCAGACTACTGAAGAGCTTACAGTTGTATGCAAAAAACATCGCATTTCTATGAATTCGCAGATGCGGGGGTCGGGACTGTCAGCTTTGACGCCGCAGAGCTTTGTTTCAGTGGCACACTTTCAGCCCATCGCTCACAGCTTGAACCTATGCTACACATTCACCATCGTCCGGCCTTCAGAGTAATGTCCTCCCCTCAGAAGCCATTGCCGATGTTCACTTTGGGTCAACGTTTGGTCTACTCTTGCGCCCACACAAATAGCTTGCTTCCAGCAGCTGGCGGTGGTCACAGCCATTAGAGGGACACGGCAGTTCCGCGCCTGGACTCCACCAGCGATAGGACTGGACCTTCATTTGACAGGCACTTCTGACGTTGGTCGCTGAGCCACGGGGCTCGGCCGTTCGACGCCCACCGCACACGAGCCAGGTTAACCAGGGACATTTTCAGCAACCTACCGTTGCTTAGGTAGGATAGCGGCGATGCTCAGCCGATTTTGTTGCAGTGGCTCAAAGTTTGGGGTGCATTGATGGCCTTGGGTAGGAGGCCTGTAAGACAGTTGAGTGCTATCGAGATGATCAGTGCTTAAACCATTATTGGAGGCTCAGGGATCCTTGATACGTGGGATTATGTTGATGGTGTTCAATCGAGATGTCCACAGAGTCCTTCTTGGCGCCGTGTATGCCGCGGATCAAACATAATGTGAGTCCATACGTGTACTGACAGTTCGGAAATTTCATACGCTTGCGCTGCTTCTTTCAAGTGCAAGAGGAAAGCTAATATGGCGCTAGAGCAAGAGAAATGATTTTAACCCATACTGACAACTGTAGAACGGGTCTCCGGCATCTTAGACCGCCCCGCCATGTTAGCTACCTGCGTTCTGCACTGATATGTTGTTCCAGATCTAAACCGTGCAGCCCCCTTTGCCTCATTTAACAATTGGGCAATTAAGAGTGCAATCAGCAAGGCTCCAATCAACGTTGCACGAATTGCTCTCCGACACATTCATGCCATTGCAGGAATCTTGCAGGCGGGTTGAAGTGCGCCAAATTGCTGGAAACTGTGCATCAGTTGCGCTGTGAAATTTACCGCTTGGGCCAATCGCGTAGAGCCTATGGGACCAACTGCGAAGGAGCGTCTCGAAGCTGAGTGCCGCCACGGCACGGCATCTCCCCAGGACAGTGTCCCCGAGGAGCTTGAAGTCAAGAAGGGAGATGGCGATGGCGACAAGCACAGTTACGACGACTCTGACGAGTTCATCGTGGAGGTGAGGTGACCTTCGCGTGGGGCACGTTGCGGGTTTTTCTAGCTTGGCATGAGGACTCCACAACAGCGGGAGGTCAGGAATGCCACAAGCCATCAGAAAGAGAGCACTAGCATGGCTGACAACGTTATTAGCGCCATGTCGAAACTTTCGCGATGTTGCAAGTGTGTTGCACATTCTCAGGAACAGATGTGGATCAATTTCTGGTTTCCATGGAGTCCCTGATACCAGATACGGCCTGAGAATTCCTTAAGGACAATCTTTCGCGGCCGCATGCTTTTGCTTTTTTTTGTCTGAGTTTTTATCCAACAGGCGAGAACCAATTTCCATGTGTGCATGTAAAAGGCCCTGATGGGAAATGCTGTGAGCCTCGTGTCACAGAACAATTGAAATTATCCGACAAATGCAATAACGGAAAGACAAAAAATCTCGGACCCACCTGTCACAGCCCTTCCACTGATGTGAGCTGGTACTGGGGTTATGTTGGTGTTACAAGGAAACCGGGAAAATTGGCGCTTAACAGCGAAGCATGCACTCAGGGGCTTTCAGCAGAAAAGAAATGTACTCCTAAACTATTGAGTCAACAAACAATGTGTGTTTTGGCAATTGGCAGAGGTTTATTGCGTGGCCTTGGTGCTCGGAAAGAGTTTGAGTTCTTTTTCATATATTTTGGCGTGTTTGGCCGCCACAAAGCTAGGTGTCTAAATGTGGTACTTGGCATAGGACATCAAATCTCCTTCCACTAATTGGGAGTTTCTCTATCTGTGGTGGTAGGATGGTTGCGCTGATGGTGACTCCGAGTGTGATGCTTTAGATGAGGCGATCGAACGGGAGCACCAGAAGTTCCGCGAGCAACAAGCACAGAAAAAGAAAGAAGCCATCTTGAGCGGCAGGGCGTGGTCGGCTCCCGCAATATGCCACAGTTCTCCAAACGCCGCCAAGCAGAGGAAGCGATCTGCTGAAAAGGACAAGGGGCCGGGTGCGGACTCGGTTAAAGGAAGGGAGAATATCTTAATATTCGAATTTCAGTGTCTAAACTGCGAAGTACTTTGAAAAGGTTGAAAGTACGTGTGTGCTTTTCAAATCTTGCAGGTACAATGCACATGAGAGGTAGGAGCTGCCAGTGCTCTGCAAGAGATAATTCTCCTCTTGTCACCTGCCGCTTGTTAAATGGACGCCACGCTGCACATTCGCCACCTGGATGGTACTCGTCTTGCGTGTGTGGAGCATTCATCCCTCACGCAGTGCCTGAAACTAATGCACCGCTAACGCATTGCAGATTCGCAATTTGTTACTTAAAGTATCCGTGGACTGATTTCCCCACCAACGCAAATAAATGCAGCTGTGCTGCTCGACGTCGCCTGGCGTCACCAGCGGCATATCTGACAAAGCCACATGTTTGTGAGGTCGCTTTCTCCGCTGCTGTGAGTTTTTTTCCATTTCCGCTTCCCCCAGATCTAGCAATCTCGAGATCGGAGTACCAGCCGCCTACACATCGCTTGTACAGACCACCTTGCCAGCACCCCGCCGTGCTGTCAAGGCCCAAATCCTCCGTGGCTGTGGAGATGTCAAATTCCTCGGGCAGGGCAGAATGCCAAGAAGCTGTCCGGGATCCCCGGGACACGTTCCTGCAGGACATCATGGAAGACTCTCCTCTCGCGGCTTCAAACGGCGTCGTCCGCCACGGCTCTGGCACGCTTGGAACGCACATCAAAGGTTCGCTTCAACAGGCCAGATCGTCGCCAAGGTCGCACCGCGGTGGATGCCGACACGCTGGAGGGCAGCACAGGGGACCAGGGAGCGACGGCGCACAACGGACCGAGAGCATGCTATCTG